CACCGTCTGACGCTGTAAGAGTAAAGTCTACAAAGAATGTGGTCTATTATTCAAACCTCTCACATGGCGCAGTGAGTAGAATGCCGGGGCCCGACACGTCATAACAGCCCTGACGATAAAGCCAACATGGCCCCTACACGTCCACGATTCTCGACGCCCTCAAGGGGATGCTAGGGCATCTCTACACCGGTGGGGAACACCAGGCGCGCCCAGCAGCAGACCATGAGTGCATTGATGGCTCAGATGGCGTCTCTAGCTACTGGTGGCCACGGTCATGCTCCTATGCCGGTTATGAAGCCCTCAGCAGCGGTCGCTCCAGAGAAGTGTGAGGCAGAAATGCCAGCAGCGGCGTTTAGGACATGGAGGTGGTCCATGGAGTCGTGGGTGCTGTTGAACGGATGGTCACAACTGGTGGCCACACTCCACATTCGCCTGAACTGCGTCCCGGCACTCCGAAGGGTGATTGACTCGAGATATCCCAGCGGTCAGTGGGAGCAGCTCTCGCCCAAGGAAGCCCTGGATGCCATCAGTGGAGTGGTTCTTCAATCGTCAAACCAAGCTGTGAAATGGAACGAGTTTTTCAACAGCAAACAAGGTGACGAGGAGCCCATGAAAAGATATTTTCAGTGATGCTTCGCAGAGGCAGTGGAGTGTGAATTTAAATGTCCCACCTGTGATAACGACCTCTCTGAGTACATGCTATTACGTAAAGTTGTAAAGTTATGGTGGGCCCGAGTAACCAAGTGTTGAAAAGGGAAATTTTCCAGGGGTACTTGGGATATAATAGTGTTGAAGAGCTTAGAAACAAGTGTATGTTATTTGAGGCAGCAGTGAGAGATGCTGGTGTATTGTGTCCTACGTCTGGCCAGGCAGTCGTGGGAACAGCCACAGAGGCAGCGGCGGTTGGTAATGACGTCACGGGTGAGTCTGTGGTAGCTGCCACCCGACCTGGACACCCCAGTCGTGCACACTGTGGGAACTGCGACATGACACATGCCTCCGGTAAGAGCAACTGCCCTGTAAGTGGGACTACATGTCGCAATTGCTCTAATGTTGGTCACTTCAAAAGGTGTTGTAGGAGTAAGACAGTCCTAAGTGCTTCTGTGGATGTATCAGGTGCTGTCACAGTGGCAACAGCCCAGCTATCCCGCCACCCCAGGTTACAAGTGTTCGTGACCCAGGCTGGGAGCAATTCCCCCGCCACCCCTGTGCTGGCTGTGGCTGACACGGGTGCTATGGTGTGTGTGGCAGGGGCATCCCTGCTCCGGGACATCGGTTTGTGTCCGGGGCAACTTCGGGCCCGTAATGGCCTGTGGGACGTGGCGAACAAACAGCTCAAGTGTTTGGGGTCCGCCCCCTGCTGCCTCAGTGTGGGCAAGGGGTCCACCGTCCAGGAGGTCTACTTCGTGCAGACAGCCAAGGCCCTCTACCTGTCATTGGAGGCCTGCAAGTGCCTCAACTTGGTGCCTGTCGACTTCCCGCTCCATAGACGTGCTGTGGCTGCTGTGGGCGATGGAGGGGAGCAGCACACTGCCGACGACCTACCCCCGAACCCTTTACCTGAGAGCAATCGTCTCCCTCCTAGGCCAGTTGAGATACCCTTGTCTCCTTTAGAAGAGAATGTGGCCAGGTTGGAGGCATGGCTGCTCACACACTTTTCATCGACCGCATTCAACACCAGTAGGTCCCCACTGCCAGTCATGACTGGTCCCCCTCACCATATCCACCTGACGCCCGGCACGACCCCCTACGCCTGTCACACACCTGCTCCCGTTCCGAAACACCGGGAAGTGGAGGTGAAGGCCCAGTTGGAGGAGGACATCAGGAGAGGCGTCATCCAGCCAGTGCCTGCTGGTGAGGCTACGGAGTGGTGCGCCAGGATGGTCGTGGTGGGCAAGAAAACGGTCAGCCCAGGCGCACTGTAAACTTTCAACGCCTCAATGCAAGCTGTCTGAGGGTGACGCACCACACACCTGCACCATTCGACATGGTGTCTGGGGTGCCAGCGCACTCATTCAAAACCGTCGCCGACGCCTTTTGGGGATTTCATCAGGTGGAGTTGGAGGAGGAGAGTAGATGCCTGACCACGTTCATCACGCCATGGGGCCGTTTTCGATACTGCAGGCTGCCCATGGGACATTGTTCAGCATCAGATGCGTACACCAAGAGGTTTGACGACGCTATTCAGGATGTGCCCCGCAAGTACAAGTGTGTGGATGACACTCTACTCTATGACTCCAGTGTGATGAACGGGGCGTTCTGGCACACCTATGATTTTCTGGAGACCTGTGCTCACACAGGTATCACACTGAAACCAGAAAAGTTCTTGTTCTGCAGGAGAAAAGCCGAGTTTGTGGGTTTCCTCCTGGGGTGGGACCTCTACCAGCCCACTGCCCAACGTCTTTCAGCCATCAAGGACTTCCCCATGCCTGATCAGCCATCAATCACTGACATCAGGTCCTGGCATGGCCTGGTTAACCAGTTGGCTCCCTTCCTTGCCACTGCACCTGTGATGGAGCCCTTCCGTGAGCTCCTCAAGAAGCCAGTGGGCAAGCGGGTGTATTGGGACGACCAGCTGTGGCTCAAGTTTCGCCAGGCCCAGGACACCATCTGTCAGTTGGCCAGGAACGGCTTGGTGTACTATGACAAATCCAGGCCTACGGCAGCTGTCATGGATTGGAGCAGGGAGGGCATCGGCTTCGTCGCCCTGCAACAATACTGTGCCTGTGCCTCTCCAGAGACGCCCTTCTGCTGCAAGGGAGGGTGGCGGTTGGCTCTGTGCGGTAGCTGACATCAGAGCACGGCCGAGGCCGTCTATGCTGCAGTAGAAGGGGAGGCCCTGGCTGTGGTATGGTGCCTGCGCAAAGCCAGGCTGTTCCTCCTTGGCTGCCCGAACCTCATTCTGGTGACGGACCACCGCCCCTTAGTTGGCTTGCTTGGGGACAGAGCCCTCACGGATGTGGCGAATCCACGCCTGTTCAGGCTCAAGGAGAAGACCCTGCAGTACCGATTCACGGTCAAATACTTGCCAGGGAAGCGAAACTGTGCAGTTGATGCCCTATCCCGCTTCCCCTCCCTCAGGGCAGCGCTTGACGCGGAGGACATGGACCAAGAGGAGAACCTGTGCGCTGCAGTGTGTGCAGTCACAATCGCAGCACTGGATCAGGATGGGTGCATCACTATGAACGAAGACACAGTGTGCAAAGCGGCTGCGGACGACCCAGTATACCAGGTTCTTGTGTCGAGGGTGCTGGCGGACGACTCGCGCCCCCACAAGTCACAGGAGGTGGCCTGTCTGCGCCCGTACTTCTCGGTGAGGGACAGGTTGGCTGTGGTCAGGGGTTTGGTCACCTACACCTTTGACCAGGGCTGCGTGCGCCTTGTCATCCCCGACTCCCTCCGCCACCGGGTCGCCGTTAACCTGCATGTGGGGCACCAGGGCCTCGACTCAATGCTCAGGCGGGCCCGGCAGTCTGTCTATTGGCCTGGCATGGAGGGTGACCTGCAGTATCATCGGTCCCGGTGTGCTGCTTGCGAGACCCACGCCCCTTCCCAGCCTCCGGAGTCGTTGGTTCTGACCCCAGCGCCAGACTATCCCTTTCAACAAGTGGTGGCCGATTTGTTCCACCTGCAGGGCCGCACGTACCTAGCATATGCTGACCGACTCACAGGTTGGCTGGAGATCGCCCACTTCCCCAACGAGGCCACCTCTGGAAAAATCATCGCCAGTCTGCGGGCCTACTTCACGAGGTGGGGGGTACCTGAGCAGATCTCCACGGATGGAGGTACCAACCTTGCCAGCCTTGAGATGACAGATTTCCTCAAGTCATGGGGGGTCGAGGTGCGCCTCTCGTCGGCCCACTTCCCCCAGTCCAATGGCAGGGCAGAGGCTGGGGTCAAGGCTGCCAAGAGGCTCCTCAGGGATAACACTGGGCCCGGGGGTAGCCTGGACTGCGATAGGACATCCCAGGCCCTCCTCCAGTACCTGAACACGCCTCTGCGGGGGGTGAACAAGTCGCCCGCCCAACTTGCCACTGGCCGCCAGCTCCGTGACGGCGTTCCCGTGGCCAGACAGCACTATAAGGTGGACCAGCACTGGCGGCGGGCACTTCGTATGAGGGAGGTGCGCTTGGCCGAAACCCAGGATGGGGTCCTTCTGTCGCGGAGGGAGGTGTCCCGCCAGCTGGCTCCCCTAGTCGTGGGCACGCAGGTGCGTGTGCAGGACGCAGCTACCAAGCTCTGGGACAGGACAGGCATAGTGGTGGAAGCCCGCCCTCACAGGCAGTATGCCGTCAGGTTGAGTGGCAGTGGCAGGGTGTCCATCCGCAACAGACGCCACCTGCGAAACGGCTCTACACCTGTGCCTACTACTCCGGTGGCGCACCAAGCTGTGCCTCCTGGCCCCCCTTCTGCTGTGCCCTCCATACCCGCGCCCTCCTCCGCACCCACGGCCCCTCCCCAGTCGAGCGCGGCCAGGCCCAGGAGAGGCCGTAGGCCTCCGGGCTGGTTAACGGACTACGTGGTGTAGTGTATGTGATGTAAAATAAGTTTAGAGGGTTTTTTTCTGTTTTTTTCCTTTGTTTGACTCGTTTTTCCTGCATTATTGTTGTTTTTATGAATGCATTGTTTTCCTTTTGTTAGTTCAAATGTGCATTGTCATTTCCTTTTAACTTGGGGGGGGGGGGAGATGTGAGATTGTGAAATGGAGTACCATCGTACAATATGTTTTCCCATGTGTTGAGGTGTGAGCTTGTCTGTGGCAGCGCCAGGTTGCCAGTCACCGTCTGATGCTGTAAGAGTAAAGTCTACAAAGAACGTGGTCTACTATTCAAACCTCTCACACTCCCGGAAAAGCTTTCCACCTATTATTCTGGCTAATGGGGTTATTACTGTACAGTATTTGATTATGTATAATAATGTTCATTATCACAGTTCGTATAGTAAAGTATATTATTACACACACGACTACTAGTGTACTGAATTTTTTTTTTCTCTTACAGGAAGATGTTTAATCACCAGGGGTTCAGGTGAGTCTCCAAAATTAGGATTAGTAAAAGTATTTAAAATCAATTTTTATGACTACAGTGTATGCGGGGAGTTTTCTGGTTAACTTGAAACTTCAAGTAAGCTTTTGAAAATTTTAAGAACATCACAAATCGGTTTTCAATTTGTGTGGTATTGAAATTTTCCCTGTAATCATCTCATTCAGAGCACATAAACATATAGACTTTAATACAGATATACAGATATAGAGATGAAAAAGTTTATTGGTATATGTACAACTACTCATAATGCCTTTTTGTACCCTGCTGTTCTGCTGGAGAGGAACATTGAAATGTGTGTATGTGCATCCAAACTTGTTTTCAATGCTGATGATGCCCAAAGATGTTTTATGGAATTTAGTTTGAAAGATTGTCTGTTTTGGGTAAATGCCAAACATGTTGTGCAATGAGTTGTAATGTGTGAGGCAGCATTGTAATGTGGACAGACTTGATTGTAGATGGATTCAGTGTTGTCTTGATATTGGTTAAAAAAAGAGTTGTAACCATATTATAGTTTTATAAGACTATGTAAGAGTGATTTTATATAGAAGTTTGTTTACCATGATGTTTGATTAGAGTTTTTAGATGGAAAGGTTGTTCGGTGATTGTGTTTGTTGATGGTCATTGACTGGTGTAGGTGGGATAGTGTTGAGTGTTTAGGAGTTGTGTTGTGCAATGATGCATTTTTTGTGTCTGGGGAAGGGGATTGGTTCACTATAAAGCAATAGGGATGAGGGATATTGCAGTAAATCTTTAAACTACAGTATCTCATTTGATCACAAGGTGGTTTTATTGCTTCTTCGTTGCTGACTATTCTGATATGAAATCTAATGAAGAAGATCAAACCTTTGCTTTTCTTTTTTCAGTGAATATTACATAAATGAAGAGGATGAAAAAGCTGTTTTGTTAGACATGCTGAGTGAAGGTGGAACCAAGCCACATAATATCCATCTGGCTGATATTTACCACAATGTCGTTGCAAAGGCTCCACAAAGTAAGTTAAAAGATATTTGTTTCATGGAGCATTCAAAAAAATAAAATATGATAGCAGTATCAGATGTATTTGAATGTTGTTTAGATACAGGTGTACCCCGATAACTGATGCATATAGGGACCGGGAAAAGTCGTTGAATAGTGAATCGATGGTTATCAAGCAATTAATCCCATAAGAACATAACAAATTCAGGGAGTTAAGGACCGGCCATCCTCCATAAACTCCCATCTACCCTCGACATATCTCTTTTGTGCACACCGGCAAGCAAGAAAATTTACCAGACTTATATATCAATCAAATAAAACTCTAACTACTGTACAGTAAATACTGTATTTACTTGTGTTGAACTGTTGAGTCGGCATTCCTCCCTGAGGCTGGAGGAATATGTTGGCTAGGGTGAAGGGTGCAGTATTGTCAGGGTTCTTAAACCCAGTGAATGTAGGTGGAGAGACTGGCAGAGGGGCTGGCTGATGCTTTTTCTTCATAAATAATGCACAGACGGCGGATGAAGTTGATGGTGAAGAGTCTGGCTGATGCTTTTTCTTCCTAAAAAGGTTACAGATGGCAGAGGAAGTTGGTAGTTGAGGCTCTTCTCACTGAGACTTAGAAACAGGCCTAAAGAAATCTGTGACCTTGACCTGTTTTGTCTGCCCTTTCTTCTAACGGTGAAGCTTCTTGTAGCAGCTGGACAAATCCTCGAAGCCATTTTGGATCTTGAGGCTGAGTTCAGCATCAGAGTCCAGGTAAAAAAAATTCTGGCTGGTGGTCCACATGCTTTCCAGGATTATTTCAAGCTTTGCCAAAGTTAAAGTAGGGAAGGTGCATGGTGACTCCTCTGCTTCCTGCTTCTTCTGCTCCTCCATCTCCAACAGTCTTCATTACTGAGTTCCTTCTCATGAGAGATGAGGAGCTCAGTGATTTCCTCTTCTGTGACCTCATTGAAGCCAGCTTGCTTTGCCAAAGAGACAATTTTATTGGTGACCTCAGGGACATCTGGTGCACGGTTGTAGCCCCAGGAAGCTATGGACAGTCTCAGGCCAAAGCGGTCACCACACACCATTCATCGTAGGAGGTGGCAATTCCTCCCAGGACTGTGTCATGTTGTCAAGGACTTTCTTGATATTATACCCCTTCCAGAAGTCTCTCACAGACAATCTACCACTGTCTGTTTCAGCTACCATCTGCACAATCACATGGCATGTGTAGTGAGCCTTAAATGTGGCTATTTCACCTTGATCAAGGGGCTGGAGCAGTGCAGTGGTGTTTGTGGCAAAACATTACCTCGATGTTGTCACACCAGTCAACCATAGTCTGTGGGTGGCAAGGGACATTGTCTAAAACAGGAGGCATTTTTTAGACAGATTGTTAGCTACTGTGTACTGTGTGATGAACTGTGACAGATAGTTGTAAATACAGTACAGTGAACCCTCACTTTACGCGGTTAATTCAACCCACGGCGGCCCATGTAAAGTGAGAAACGCGTAAAGTGAACAACATAACATATGGGATTAATTGAAATAGAGACCGGGCCGACCCCCAAACTCCACTTTTTCCCGACACAATACGTACGTTTTACTAAAAATAACATCTTAACTTTATGATGGTATTCATCCACACATAATATAGAAGGGAACAGTCAATAAGAGAAGAATAAACTGAAGGTTAGGTTAGAAAAAAACAAGGTTGGGGGTTAACACTTACGTTAGTAGAAGAGATGGGTCGGCGTAGGGAATGGAGGCTGGTTCCAAGGCAGAGGGCAGGCTACTGGCCCTCAGGTGAGTCTTCATCGGTGTCATCCACACTTACTAGTGCCTCCCTGACAAATCCCTCAAAGTCATCATCACTGTCTCTGCCTCTGTCACTATCACTGGCTTGGGCTGGCTGTGGTGGGTTGCGGGCGAAGAACTCTGTTATGCTTTGCTGACAGCTGGTGTTTATGTTGTCGTGATAAACCTTGATGTAAGGCTCCATAGTCTGCAACAGCTGGGTAGTGAAGATTTCATACCTGTTTGCGTCAGGGTCGTCGGAAAGGAGGAGCTTGACTTTCTCAATACACTCGATGGCACCCCTAACATTACTATGGGATAAGTGGCGTTCTTCTTGGGATGACACACCACCTGCCTCTTCACTGACGTCATCATCATCTACCATCTCGTCGGAAGTCACATCAGGATCCCTTATCACCTCCAGGATGTCATCGTTGGTGGTCTCGGAGAAGCCTGCAACTGTAACACTCTGCGCAGCTTCTCTGGTAAGGTCCACTCCTACTGCAACAGTCTGAACCTCACCAGTCACAGATTTACTCTGCCTAACACCCGGAATGCCTTGCAACACATGTCTCCATGCGTGACGAACAGTTGCTACAGACAGCTGATCCCATGCCTCCACCAAGAAGTCCACAGCTTTCTTGACATTGAATGTTCTCCAGAATTGTTTTAAAAGTACTTCTTGCTCTGCCAACTGTTGATTCTCGTCGTCTTCACTCTTGCTATCCGTGTTGGTGTCACTCAGGTTACGCAACTCTTCCTTGGTGTTGGTGTAGTCGTTCAGGAGGTTGAATTTTTTAGCAGAAAATGCAGCTTTTACATTACAGATCAATTCTTGGTCCATGGGCTGCAATATAGACGTAGTGTTGGGAGGAAGGAAGACCACTTTTACGTTGGGGTGACGATCTAACAGTAGGGACGAGTGTCCTGGTGCGTTGTCCAGCAGCAACAAAATCTTGAATGGCACATTATGTTGCTCACAGAATTTCTTCACATCGGGAACGAAACAGTCATCAAACCAGGAGAGGGACAGTGTAGAGAACATCCACGCCTTACGTGCAGTCAGCCAGTGGACATTTAGCTTGGTCATGTCCATGCTCTTTTAGGCGTGCGGCTTGCGTGCTGTGTGGATCACCGATAACTTGAGCTTACAGGTACCAGAGGCATTGGTGGTAAACAGGACGGTGATGCGCTCCTTCTGCAACTACCGGCCCCGAATCTTGCTGGCATTCTTCACAACGAAGGTCTTGGAAGGTAGCTTTTTCCAAAAAAGACCAGATTCGACCATGTTAAACACCTGGTCGTCGGTGTACTGTCCTTCCTCCATAATCTCACGTAAAAACGGAGGAAATTCCCCAGCCGCAACACGGTCAGCACTAGCTTCTTCACCACCAATGTTGATATTGGTGATCTTGTTCCTCTTCTTAAACCTCTGTAACCACCCAGAGGAAGCATTAAAGGGTTTGGGCTCTGTTATTCCCATCTTTCATGACACTGCAGCATACAGTTCACGTGCGTACTCCTTAATAGAGCGCGTGTCCACCGCCATGTTCCGTCGCGCCTGACGCACCAAGTAGCTCACAAGTAATTTTTCCGTCTTGAGAAGCACCTGGTTGTGGAAATACTTGATCATAGAAGCACCTGTAGTCTTTGTGATGTTCATGTGCTCCTTTATCTTGGCTGCATCCTCCTTTATCGTCCGGATCGTAGATTCGTTCACACCATGCTGGCGCGCCAAATCAACCTGTCTTGTTCCTTTCTCCAACTCTTGGATGATCTTGTACTTCACCTCGTAGCTTAAGGAACGTCGTGTCTTCTTTGGCTTAGGGCGGCTGGGTCCAGGCAAGGAAAGGTTTCTCTCTGGGGGTGGTGGTCCGGCGGAAGCCATTTTACAGAACAATGGATGCACGATTACACGGTGTGGCCTGGAGGGATGAAACTGCTGCGGCTATGTCAAGCGTCGTCTTTCCTCCCTCCCTCCCTCCCCCGGGTGGACACGTCATATTACTTTAAACCAATTACAGCTAGCAGCGGAGGGAGGTAGGGATGCATGGCCAATCACAGTCCGATACGTCAGTGATAACGCAACAGAGACATGCACTGCGCAACCTTACCGCGCGGCTTGCCCAGGCGGAGGCGGGAGCAGGTGGGAGGGGCGAATCTAAAAATAGCGTCGAGCCAGACACTCTCCGCGTAAAGGGGTACACGCACCGCGGAATGTGAGCATCCTGGTTTTGGCAGGGTACCGCGTAAACGTGGAAACGCGGAATGTGGGACCGCGTAAAGCGAGGGTTGACTGTATTCACATATTCTCTTTCAGTGAAGACGAGCCCAGGAGGGCTCAGCGACATTCACTGAGTGACTTAAAGGCAAGGAATAGTCACAACGATCTAAACGACTTCACAAAGAAGACGTGTTGTGGTCGCCATGATGCTGACCAGAGATCGTATAAGAAATTGTCCCAAATACAATAATTGAGAGCCATAACAAAATAAAAGTCACTCTACTTCATCACTGTGCTAATAAGTACAAATACCATATATAAAATCCTCACGGAGCTTAGTATTTCAGCAATTACAACACAAATTCGAGGAGCTCTCCTTCGTGTGTATTTACAGCTGAATCGCCAGGCAAGAGATGAAGGTCGTGATGCGTATGGTGGGGGGTGAAGGAGGGGGTTTTGAGAATTGCAATTAAATGCCAGGTAGTGACGTGTCCTCCTAATATTACTTATTAAGTAATTATTATTTGTTTTAATTGCCTGTATGTTGGCGTGGTGAGTTAGCTAGGAATTAACATACCTAGGTAACATTGCTGAGCGTCGCATTCCGACTTGAACAAAAATAACAATAACACAGCTTGGTCTGATAGGGGAAAAGAAAGGGGGATGTAGCCACAGGGACAGTCTAACTTGGCAACCTACTGTAGTATCTTGGGTTATTTAATGGGAGAATGACGAGTCACATGGTCTGTCTGGCTGGTTGTTTATTCTCTGTTCTTCGTTACAATGTGCCTAACACATTTCGTGTTTACACAAGCCTAAACACTTTCTGACTTTGGTAAGAAGTAACATAATATATAATATATATATTCAATAAAGGCAGCATATAAACATACATACCGTATATACTCGTGTATAGTTCGAGTTTTTAAGACCAAATTTTTAGGCAAAAAATTGGGGGTCGTCCTATACATGCGTAATAGTTTTGTTAGGTTGAACCCGTGCATGATGGGAAGGGCGAGGAGCAACTTTTAGCTTCAGACATGAAAAATATTTACCATTTGCTGCCAGTAAACAATGGAAACGTAAAATATGTACCAATTAGTAATGAAAAGTTGTGCAGTTCCTTCAGTAAATGAAGCTCACCAACTTACAATAGGCTAAATTACCTTACAATGTGCTTTCAGTAGTCTATGTTGAAGTTCTTAGCACAGGCTAACTTATCATATCATATACGGTATCACAGTTCTCATTGATCTACAAAAAATACCGGTAATAAAAACCTTTTCGATATTTCACACTTAATATAATACCCGGTAATCTACTTCAACCTCCTATTGTTTACAACGACGCATGACGCACCACCAGCTGTATCACCTAGACGGTACACGTGTTTTTCGAATCGTTTTCAGTTAAAAAACTGTTACATCACATGTATATTTTACCTTAACTGTGCCTGAATGAATATGTTCTCGGAAATAAATAGTAGTTTTGCTAAAACGTGATATATTTTAATGTAAAATAGGATAAAATACATGACGAAAACAAAAGATTTTACCTAACCTTCCGATGTTCAAGAGAAGTTACTCGTTTTTTTAATAGTTTTTGGTTAAAATATTGTTATATTACAAGGGTATTCTATTCATACTGTGCTTGATATAATGCATTCACGGAAATGTAATATTTTTGCTGAACGTACGTATTACAGTGGAAAGTGGGATAAAATTGTGACGAAAACAATGACTTTCGCTTTCTTTCGTTCAAAAGATGTTACCGTAATCGCTTTTCGAATGGTTTTCAGTTAAAAAACTGTTGTATTACGATAATATTCTATCCTAATTGACTTGAATAAATACTACGATACCATATTTATGAATATTTTCATTAAAATCCATCAAAATCATTTTCCTTGTCATCGTCTGCAGCACCAAACAGCTTTTCCCAGTCCTCTCCTTGAACAGGGCTAGAGGGTACGTGTTTTTCGAATCGTTTTCAGTTAAAAAACTATTACACCACACGTATATTTTACCTAAACTGCGCCTGAATGAATATATTCTCGGAAATAAAAGTAGTTTTGCTGAAAGGTGATGTATTTCAATGTAAAATAGGATAAAATACATGACAAAAACAAAAGACTTTACCTAAGCTTCTGTTCTTGAGATGTTACTCGTTTTTTAATAGTTTTCGGTTAAAATTTTGTTATATTATAATGATATTCTATTCACACTGTGCTTGATATAATACATTCACGGAAAGGTAATATTTTTGCTGAAATTACGTACGTATTAAAGTGGAAAGTGGGATAAAATCGTGACGAAAACAATGACTTTCGCTTTCTTTCGTTCAAAAGATGTTACCATAATCGCTTTTCGAATGGTTTAGTTAAAAACTGTTGTATTACAATAATATTCCCTTCTAACTGACTTGAATAAATACTTGAATGGAGATATACAGTACAATATTTTTGTTGAAACTACCCGCGTTTCAGTGTAAAGTGTCGTATAATAAATGGTAAACAATTTGCCTTCGGCACTCGTGTTTCATGCACGGCGAGCCTCAGTTTATAGGACGTAGAGCGTTTTTACTGAAGGTTTTGCTGTAAAATTAATATTACTCTGTACTATTTAATTTATATTAAGCTATTTTATATGTATGTGACTCATAATTAATTAAATGTACAATACCGATATTCCTTAGTGAAGAAACAGGCAACTTAGTTAGGCTTTGACAAGTTTTATCCATGGCCATGGAACTTAACCCCCTATTTCCCATAAACCTATAATTTTGTCAGCCAACCCTATAATTTTACAAGGGACTACTCTACTGTAAGATAAATCTGCCTTCATCAACTTTTAGTACTGTAATCTGAAAATGACAGAAAGAAATTAAGCAAAATCACTCTCCTCGTGAGGCACTTTCTGACCAGCATTGTTTTTCTCACCTAGGGCCGGATTCAGGAGTGGGTAAAGTGGGCAGCTGCCCAGGGGCCTCCACATGTGCGGTAGTAGCTATATCAGGGCTGGTCGACTTGAAACCACATGAATGACTCCAGTCATGTCTCACTTTTGTGTGTGTGTGTGTGTTGGGAATTTGTACACTATCAATAAATATACAGTTAATTAAAAATTTCTCAATGTTCTAATTTTCTCAATATAACTGCATATGGCTTCAAAATTCTCCAAAGAAGTGTTTAAATTTAAAAATTTTCCCGGGGGGCTTACAGCGCCTCCCGGAACTCCCAGATGTTTAGGCTCGCTTCACTCGCCACCCCACCCTCTTGGGGTAGTTATAATGAGGGGGGCCTCCACAAAGAGGCTGCCCATGGGCCTCCACAGGGTTAAATCTGGCACTGTTCTCACCTCCATACATCTCTTCACATTGACCTTTTGGAGTCGAGCATTTTCTTTAGTCATTTGATCTGAAAAAGTTGAAGATAGATCTAATACTGTTTCTCAAATCATTAATAAACTAACAGTCTTGAAATATAAACACTATTAGTTGACATGTGGGGACACCAGAGAAGAGTTTATGATAGTATTTTAGCCACAACAATCACTCTGGGTGAGAGCCATACCTATCTGCTAATAATTTAATTTACCAGTAATATTTATGACCATGCATAATGAGAGATATTTTTTGTATTCAGTACCATACTCTATATTTTAATAGTTTTGTTTTATTATCTAATTCTTTCTGTGTTAATGTTTCCAGAATACTTCAATGTATCATTTTATGATATCCTTTATGACAAGACAACATGGCAGAACAACCAGTTGATAACGACATTACAGGAGATGACTATGTTTGGACAACATGAACCTTCCTGTGAAAATCATGGCAGAGAGTTGATCCAGGGGGTGAGTCTATTTCAATCATCCTCAAATGCATGAGATATATAGATAAAATAATTACAAGTTATTTGATTTTGATAGTAATATAAATACGAGTACAATACTGTACAAGATGTAAATTTTTTAAAAGTTGAGTAAATTGATTTTAATAAATGGGGAGGGGAGCTTGATGGTTTGGCTTAAAGCAAAAGGGGAGCGTCATGTGAAAAAGTTTGGGAACCATCGGTTTAGAGGCTTAAATGACTAAGTAAGGAAATAATTAAAAGCCTTTAATGCATTGATAATACAGCCATATTAGTTTTTTTAATCTTATGTTCCACAGCTACCAAAGAAGGTCAGGTATCCCGATTTCATACCACTCAAGCCCCAGCACCAAAAGTGTACCAGCAACCTCCAGGATGCTGAAGTGCACAAACCAGAGACAAAGTCAAGTGTACCACCACCCACTAATCAATCCAGTGGTGAGGAAAGAAAACGAGGTAAAATTTTTTTTATTATTTTGGTATTCACCAGTAAGTCCGTTGAGTATTGTATGAAAACTAAGTTGCATTGAAAGAGAAAAACTTTTTTCTCTCTGGAGTTGTTTAGGGACTTTATACTGTATAGGACCTTTAATAAGATGACAAGGAAAAAAATACTGTGATTGAGCAAAAGAAAAGTAGATGATGATTTTGGTAAGAAGGTTGTGGGGTATAATTTGTGTTTGTGTTCACACTCAGGATGGAATGGAGGAAGGAAACTCACAATGCGCTCTCTGTATACATGTTGTATTGGATGTACAATGTAGCTTGGTGCTGGGAAGTGGCAGCGTGGTTACAAGCATGATGTAGAGAGAGCTGGTTGGTGAGGGTGCTCAGAGGAGGACAGCTTGTGGGTCGCCATGCTCGCCGGCGGGAGCGAGGGCCGCCAGGCAGCGGCGGAGGAGGAGGAGGAGGTGTTGCTTGCTGGTTGGTGTAGGTAGAAAAGGGCGAGGTCACCACGAGGTCAGGTCTTTTATCGCGGAGGTAGGCGTGGCTTAATAGTTGACCTCCGCTCCGTGGGCGGCGCTGGTTGACCTAGACCACGAGGCATACACTGCGGAATTCGCGGGGTCGGCTACTCAGTGACAAACAGCGTTTGTAGGGGAGAAATCCACTACAGTACTCCCCCCTTCCCTCCAGGCGGTGTAGGAGACTTGTTGTCTGCAGGGGAGCATGGCACATGTGAGGTAGAACGGGCGGTGCATGCCACATGTGAGCAATAACGACGAGGGCGTGGATGAGCCGGCCGCTAGAGGAGACAACTGTCAAGATACACAATATCTGTGGGAGTAGAGAGGGAGAAAAAGGGTGTGTGGAGGCGATGAATGTTGTGCTTCCCTCACGGCAGGTACAGAGTCGTCAGATGCGCCTGCTGGGATGTGTGGGCCTGGGTCAGGAGCAGGGGCTGCTTCAGAAGAAGCGGATGAGGGCTCGTGACAGCAGCTGGGTCCACAACAGCAGCAGGGTGCAGGACAGTAGCAGGGAGTACCTGAGGGAGAAAAGAGGGTGTGTGGGTCCGCACTCAGGCACATGGGCTGCGTCGGGAGCAGGGGCTGCATCAGGAGTAGCGGCAGGGGGTACTGCTGGGCCGGGGACAGCGTCTGAGGCAGGACAGGTGTGCTGGGGTCGGTAGGACGTGGTGCTTGGGGCAGGAAGAGGAGCTGGTGTCTGCTTAGAGAAGCAGTGCTGCTCTAGGGTGTCTAACCTGCGGTGTAGAGACAGTAGCTGTAGAGCCGATGAGAGCTGCCTCTGTGTGGATAAGCCAGTCTTCCATGTTGCTTGAAGACTGGGAGCGTGATCGGTTTCTCCTCCATCCTGTGTGAGTGCAAATCTCCGGGGGTCACCATTTGTGGGATGTAATTTGTGTTTGTGTTCACACTCAGGATGGGATGGAGGAAGGAAACTCACAATGCGCTTTCTGTATACATGTTGTATTGGATGTACAATGCAGCTTGGTGCTGGGAAGTGGCAGCGTGGTTACAAGCGTGATGTAGAGAGAGCTGGTTGGTGAGGGTGCTCAGAGGAGGACAGCTTGTGGGTCGCCATGCTCGCCGGCGGGAGCGAGGGCCGTCAGGCAGCGGCGGAGGAGGAGGAGGAGGTGTTGCTTGCTGGTTGGTGTAGGTAGAAAAGAGCGAGGTCACCATGAGGTCAGGTCTTTTATAGCGGAGGTAGGCGTGGCTTAATAGTTGACCCCCGCTCCGTGGGCGGCGCTGGTTGACCTAGACCACGAGGCATACACTGGGGAATTCGCGGGGTCGGCTACTCAGCGACAAACAGCGTTTGTAGGGGAGAAATCCACTACAAGGTAATTGGTAAGGGAGACTACAGGAAATGTAAAAAGAATTTAAAAGAAGTGTAGCGACTGAAGAATAATGAATGTAATGTAATGTAATGTAATATAGTTAACAATGACTATAATTATTGTAACTAGCAATTCTGTTTATGTATCTATTGTTGAGTCAGCTTGATGAACTTGGTTCGAGACAGCTTCGTTCAGTCAGCCGGTATATATACTCGTGGGCGGCCTCCCAGCCACACAAGGACCTGGGAGGGCTCACTAACTCCATTGCAGTAAAAAAGTATTATAAGCAGCACTATATAAATAAACCAATATTAATACAAGGTCTGACGACCCAAGGGAGCAAAACAAAGATAAAACACCAATAGGAAAGAAGAAGCGATCTGGTTGAGCCTAGATTCTTTCTACTACTGTATTTCAGTTTCACCACTTTTTCTTCAACCCCTAATAATCTTCTTTCACCTCATAACTCATGACTCCAAAGCCAAAGAACGGCCACTCACTCTCGCTCCGTGCTAGAGCACAGTTCTCCTAGCAACACCAATAAACTGATAAACGTAGTCTGAGTTTTCCTGGACCAAATACTACATTGGTGTCTCGAACCAAGTTCACCCAGCTGACTCAACAACAGGTACATAAACAGAATTTCTAGTTACAACAATTATAGTCATTGTTAACTATATTACATTACATTACATTCATTATTCTTCAGTCGCTGCAGAAGGATGTGTGCCAAGACTATGTACTAGATAAGGTGGGGACGATGATGGTGAGAGATGAAGATGTTAGAGGAAGTTGGAGAGTACAGTACCCTCCACCCCCTATATCAATGAGATGTGTACTGTACTATACTGTACTGTATTATGGTTCACTATTTCTCAGCAAAGTGAATAGTGAAAACATTTTTATATCGTAGCGAGATGTTTGAATTATTAAAGTCTTTGGCCTTTCTATACTGTATTTTGTACCCCCACTGTATTATCAACATTTCCTTGCAGTTTTCAATGATCCCTGTAAATTTTCAGTACCCCATACATTTTCATTGGCCGCTCTTTCAGTTTGTTTCTGTCTAAATTTTAGTAATGTTTGGCATTTGTCGTGTCCCTATAAATTTTTAGTAACCCATAGCATTTTCAGTAGACCCTATATTATAAATGACCCTGACATTTTTAGTGTCCCCAACAATTTTCATTGTCCCCCAAAAAATTTAATTAACCTATATTTTCAGAACCCCTTTCATTTTCCATTCCCTCTGTAATTGCAATGCCTCCAATGTTTTCATTGCTCCTCTAGATTTTAAGTCTTCCCATACATATTCAGTGTCCCTTTCCCCCTCATGAATATGTGCAGTATTGTAAAAAAGTGTTTTGAGAATTGAATAGATGAGATTGCACGAAGATGGTATAAGTATATGGAGTATACTGTATGACAGGAGAGTGAGTGGTTAAAACAATATATACAGTATAACAGTAAAGTAGGGTATAGATAAAGGCATGAATATGAAAGGAAGATTAAATTCCAGAGTGATATACAGTATGGCACTTAAAAATTTCTGGTCCTCAACACACAAGTTTTGAACAGCTTACTTATTTTAGAACCATACAAGTAGTTAGTGCCTCTGTAACTATATCAGCAGTGAGTGAAATACAGTATAGATAATATATTTTAGGAATGACAAATTACTTTTTTCCCAGCAGAAATATTAAATGGTAAATAATGGTCTATATTGTCAGTTTCTTGTTTTGAATCATGCATTACAGTTTGTTTTACATACATGTAGTTTTAATTGCACTAAGAAATTTTTTTAAATATATAAATTACTGAAGATATTGCCATTGCAGGTAAAACACCAGCAACAACAGCTGCAATGATACCCTGGCATCCACCGAAAGATAATGAAATTCAGAGAGCATCACTCCCTCAACGAGATAAAGGAGGAGTTGGTCAAGTTACATCAAGCCTATATGTCATATCTACCCTCACTTTTTTTATGATTGTTCTTTGATCTTGTGTACATAGTTGTGCTGCCTTACAATTCCTTGAGTCAATACAATTTATGTTTGTGTTGCTGATGATAAGTCTAACCTTTTTTTATATATATTATGCAAGATTTTTTCTTTCTTTTTACAATTATATACAGTAGTAGAATGAAGAAACATTAACCACTCTGTGTAAATATGGTCTTACTAAATATTGTACATTGTATTATTTATTGCGTAGACTATCCACTGATGCTGATCTTCGTACAGATATCCCCCAATCTACGATCTCCCTCTCTACAATATTCCATTTTAACAATGGTGATGTATTACCGACCACCTTCCTATCTACGGTGTAAACAATCTGCATGAGCGATGGTCATCGTCCAGCCAACGCAGATGCATCTCTCAGTTCACTTGTCAGCCGTGGTCTACCCAAACATTGCTGAGCAGCCACTCAGTGCACTGCAGTACCAAGCTATGTCCAATATGTTCCATGGTGATCGCATTTGGCCGCGATCGTGTAAGTCAATGGTCGGTCTGTATCGGCGTTGTTAGTTATTACTATCAGTGTTTGGTTTTTAACCTTACTGTGGGAGGACATCTTTAACGTTCACATTATATTCTGTTTTGGTGACTGTGAAGTGATTTTTTTTTTTAAGTGCTTTGTCCCTGTTGTTGTGAACGTAATGTGAGTGGTGTCAGCCGCTATCATTGTTTTTACTTTACCATTGTTCACTCAGTTTTGTGACAAGTGCTTTCACTCTGTTTTTGTGAGTGAAGTGACCAGTGTAACTTTGAAAATGTCTGGGAAGGCCAAGGCACTCTGGAAAACCGTGTCTCTGGAGGTGAAGCTTGACATTGTGAATTGACACTAGATGATCCAGAGGCTGTGAGAGTCAGTGATGTCAAAACTCCACCTTCGAGAGTCCCCTTACCCTCAAAGGAGACGTGTAATGATGACCATGCTTTTTCTTAATAATGTGGCGAGTGTTGTTTAATTGTTTTATGTGTATTATTAGTGTAGGATTTTTTTTCGGTGATATGTGTGGGTGTCATACTGGCTGGGAACATATCCCATTGAACCCCATGTTATAATGATTCCAACTTGAGATGGGTTTTTCAGGAACCTAACCTCATCGTAAATAGCGGGATACCTGTACTACATCAGATATATTGCTGCACATGTACAGAACTTATTTCTGCACTTATTACACTTCATTTGCAAAAGTACTTTAGAGTGCGTGTGCCCTGGGTCATTAATGCACCCTCGGTGGGGTGCGCACCTGCCTGCACTACACACGGATGTGTAAAAGTGAGCAGGGCACCGGTGGCACTGGTGTTTCATGAAGAACCTTCTCACCCCACCTCATCCCAGTGTGGCTGACACACGCATTAAACACACAAAGCTGCTGGGGTTTGACAAATTTATCTAAAGATCGACAGCATCAAGGCAAGTTCGTTTTGTTTACCTTTGAAGGGAAAATAATTCACTTTGGAATAGCACCTGTCCAAGGAGATGGATATCTACAATGTTTGTCACACTACTTTAATTAAAATTTTGTTAAGGTTGTGGAGCTGTGATACTATGATAGAATAATGTACGGTCTTCATTCCCAGTCTGTCCAAAAATAAAATGAAGGTACAGTTGTACCCCACTTAACGCGGTCAATAGAACCCAGAGGGTCCCGTGTTAAGTGAAATCCGCGTTAAGTGAACAACAGAACATATGGGATTAATTCCAATAGAAACCGGCCCGACCCCCAAACTCCACTTTTTGAAGACACATAACTATGTTGTAGTAAAAATAACATCTTAATTTTATGATGGTACATGCACACAATTAATACTTAAGAGAAATAGCGAAATACAGTCGCCAAGTTAATGTCCATTCAAATAATGGACTCAACTCCCTCCCCCTCTTCTCACACTACACTGCTGGCTCTTCCCTCTCTGAGAAATTTTTGGGGGAAAACCACTAAATTTTAATAAATAAAACCTCAAACTAAAGTTAGGATAATACAATTGACATTGCTGGATTCCTTGTAAGACCAGGAATATTTTGAATATAAATGTCATATATTTTGCACAAAAGATAACATATTTACTAGAGAAAACATTTTATCTAAAATTTGTATGTCTAATGCAAAATATATGATGTTTATATTCAAAATGATCACCAAATTATAAGAATTCCAGCAATGTAAATTATATTCTGGCCGAGTAATTTGTATGAATTTTATGAGCTAAAACAGGCAGTCAGGCAGGGTGGCGGGTGGGGCAAATCTAAAAATAGCGTCTCGAGCCGGACACTCACCGCGTATATGTGGAAAAAATCCGTGTTAAGTGAAAGTTCAGCTCTGGCGAGGCACCGCGTATATGATAAAACGCGTTAAGTGAAACCGCGTTAGGCGGGGTAATACTGTATTATCTATATATGAAATATTGGCATGGAAGCTTCCTCTCCCCCAATCTTACTCTCATTATTGTATTAGGGATAGAAAACATATCAGCCACTTACCTGGCTGATATGGAACATGTCGTGAGTGGCAAACCTATTGGACACTGAAGTTCTTGAACAATAGCATTTTCTTATCCATAAATGTTTTCTTTCATTATTAATAGAAAATTAGTCACCTTATAACTTTTATCCTGTGACAAAACTATTTTGGGAGCTTTTTAAGATGTCAGTTAAGTGGTGCTTTGTTTATGACAGTGGATTTTACTAGGCAGGTTTGTTTTCAACTTATACCGAATGAAGTGTGATATGGCAAGAATTAACCCAATTTTGTACCCTGTACAGTACGTGATTTTGTGAGATGTGTGTTCTTATTATATTGAAAGTGTTTTAATAAATTTTTTATACCGATTAATTTTTTAATAACATGAGAGATTTTTAAACTTGGATAGTGTATTCCCCATTATCAATTGCAGTATTAACTTAAGAAATGCTTTTAGCCACAATACCTTTTTAATTATACATTACTGTATTATGAATATAAGTTGATTCTCTCAATAAGGAGGAAAACCTTTTTCATTGGACTTTGTTATTACATATTATTATTCATAACTGTATTTCATAATTTTATCCACACAGTAGACAAGTAGATCTGTCACTGCTGGGCTCCATTAAATAGATAGTAATTTTCTTACAACTTCTATACTTATATTAATATTTACAAACAAATAAACACACCAGAAAGTTATATAAAAGTTAGAGAAAAATCACTGATTCAAGGAAAACAAGTAAGAACACATTGATGACCTCAATTGGAGTAACACACGTAACACTTAGGAAGTATTACTGGCCATTGACTAAGTGTTGTGTCCTAATATACTGTAAATAATCCTTGGGAAAGTTAATAGGCAGAGTTGTAAAAAGTACCAGACTTTGTTACTTAAGTAAAAGTATTATTACATTGGCAAAATGTTACTCGAGTAGTAGTAAAAGTATTAAAATGTCAATGTACTCAAGTAAAAAAGTATCACATTCTTAAAATACTCAAGTACAGAAAGTAAAAAGTAACAACAAAATTATTATTTGTCTCAAATATTAAAATAAATCCACAGTTAATTATAAAAAAAAAGTATAAAAGGTGCGCCCCTACTTACGACTGCTTGGACTTACGTCCGTCGGTACTTACAACCTGCTCTGACCTTTACGACTGTGGCAGTCGTGACCAAAAATATTTTCAAATGACGCGCGCATTTTCTATATCGAACCTTTTCTGTCCCGGGCGAGAGCATGGCAGGCGGGCGGGCTTGGGTCGCCGCGTGGGTGAACTTTCGTAATTATCGTATATAATTGACTATAAAGACTGAAAAGCGTAAAAGTGAGAGTGCTGGTGGTGCTCCAAAGAAAGGGAGACAGGCAATTACTTTTGAGATGAAAATGAAGATAATAACTCAGCATGAGAATGGAAAGACTGTAGCAACAATCTCACGTGACCTAGGTTTCTCACACTCGACCATATCCACTATTCTGAAGGACAAGGAACGTATTCATGATGTAGTGAAAGGAACAACACCAATAAAGGGAACTATAATTTCAAAGAAAAGACAAGGTCCTATTCACGATATGGAAAAATTATTGGTGATATGGATAGAAGATCAGATACAGAAGTGTGTACCCTTAAGCCTTCTAACCATACAGGCTAAAGCAAGAAGCCTGTTCCAAAGCCTGAAGGAGCAGGCAGGAGATGAATGTGATCAAACCTTTAGAGGAAGTCATGGGTGGTTTGATAGATTTAAAAAATGCTACAGTCTACACAATGTTAAGGTGAGTGGAGAGGCAGCTAGTGCCGATGTTGGTGCTGGCGAAGCCTTTAAGGAGGAGTTAGATGAAGTGATTGTGGAAGGGAATTATTTGCCTGAGCAAATATTCAATGTGGATGAGACTGGATTATTGTGGAAGCGCATGCCTGAGTGGACATATATCCACAAAGAGGCGAAAACAATGCCAGGATTCAAGGCATTCAAGGACAGAATTACACTTCTGTTGGGGGGGAATGTTGCTGGTTTCAAGCTAAAGCCCTTCATGATCTATCATTCAGATAACCCCTGGGCTTTTAAACATGTCAGCAAGCACACACTGCCAGTGTTTTATCGCAGTAATAAGAAAGCCTGGATGACCTTAGCACTGTTTGAGGATTGGTTCATGACTTGTTTCATTCCACGAGCCAAGGAGTATTGTCTGCAACAACGGATTCCATTCACGATTTTGCTGATTTTGGATAATGCTCCGGGACACCCACCACACCTGGACGACATGCACCCTGATGTTAAGGGATGGATCAAGGTGCTATTGCTGCCTTTAAAGTGTATTATTTACACACGACCTTCACTCAGGCAGTTGCTGCTACTGAAGGTGAGAAAACGCTCAGAGTTTTGGAAGGAGTACAACGCTTTCTCATGTATAAATAACATTAGTGCAGCATGGGATCAGGTTACAAAACATTGCATGAATGGAATATGGAAGAAAATCCTGAAAAGATATGTGAACAGTTTCAAGGGATTTAATGAAAATGAAGTTATTTCGGATATTAGTAACAAGATAGTGGAGTTAGGTAAACAGCTGGAGTTAGAAATTGATAATGAAGATGTTGGACAGTTGGTTGAAAGTGTAGCAGAAGAGCTCAGTAACGAGGATCTTATTGAACTAGATGCACAGAAAATTGCAGAGGAAGAAGAGAGACAAAATGTAGAAGAAGAACCTGCACCCCCCAAAAAGTTTTCAGTGAAACAAATGGCAGAGGCATTTACTACTATTAATAAAGGAATGCAAATGTTTGATGGCATGGATCAAAATTATGAGCGTTATGCCAAAGTTGACAGAATGCTCCAAGATGCACTTGCTTGTTACAGAGAAATTTATAATGAAAAGAAAAACAAACTGTGCGGTCTGAATTGGACATTATTTTAAGAAGTACCCCAGTGCTGTCTCCTCACGCTCCACCAGTGCTGCATCTTCACTCCCTCAAGATGATCCAATACCTTCAACCAGCAAGTTTCACCAGTACATAAACCTGTCTGAAGAAAGCGACATTGATGACCCACCCAGCCCTGTCTCCTCCTCTGCTTCATCCAATTAATATAGTCTCCATGTATCCTGTAAATAGAAAATTATGGGGGCCCCATGTGCATTCAGCTGACTACATTAAAGGTAAGTGCTCAGTCACACTGTATCCATTCCTCATTATTTATTACTTTTACTGTACTGTATTTCATTGTAGATTTTTTTGTTTTTTTTAATTTTGATTGTTTTTTTGTTTTGTTTTTTTATGTCGGACTTACGACCTGGATTTGGGTCCCTCTCTAGTCCGGCATTCTGTGGTCCGGAAATTCCTCGTTGACACAGGTTCATCAGTTAGCATCATCTCTCCCTCACTACAAGACACGTCTAAGCAACCCTCTTATGACCTGTCCGCCGCCAACGGTACCCCCATCGCCTCCTACGGCGCACGCATCCTCGCCTTAGACCTCGGTCTTCCCAAGACTCTGTGCTGGTCATTCGTGGTCGCAGACGTGTCTCAATCCATCCTTGGCTTCGACTTCCTCACCTTCCACAAGCTTGGCATCGACCCATGCCATCTTTGCCTCATCCATGAGCCTACAGCACGCAAGATCCAGGGTTCACGTGCCAAAGACACAGACACTATCACCTGTCTCTCGCCGTGCAACGAGTTCTCCCCCCTGCTCGAATAGTTCAAGGAACTTTTCTCACTCCGAGTCTCTCCACCCCCACCACCTACGTCGGGAATTTTCCACCACATCGAGACCAAAGGACCTGCAGTGTTCTCACGCCCTCGCTGCCTGCGCCCTGAGCTCCTGAACACAGCCAAGGCGGAATTCAACAGACTACTGCAAGACAGCATCATTCGTCCTTCAAAGAGTCCCTGGGCATCGCCTCTTCACATGGTTCCTAAGCCATCATCCGGCGACTGGAGGGTGTGCGGCGACCACAGAGCCCTGAACCTCGTCACCAAACCTGACAGGTACCCTATTCCACATGTCCAGGACTTCCACCACAAACTTCATGACAAGACCATCTTCTCGAAGATCGACTTGGAGCGTGCCTTCCACCAAATCCCAGTAGCACCTGCAGTTACCCAGAAGACAGCCATCACCACTCCGTTCTGACTCTTCGAGTATACTGTACTTTCATGAGTTTTGGCCTACGCAATGCAGCACAGACTTTCCAGAGGTACATGGACCATATGCTTCGCGACCTCGATT